CACCCCACCCGAGTGTTGAATGTTGAATGAAAGTTGTGTTTTTACTGTTTTTTATTCACATATTGTTTTGTTTTATATTGCACTCCCCCTTTCCCTACGAATGTAAGCCGCCCTGAGTCCCCTCAGGGAAAAGGGCGGCCTATAAATCCTAATAAATTCAAATTCAAATTCAACACTAGAAGTTTTTAAGATGTGATTTGTCTGAAGTGGTGTAGGGTTTCCTGCCTGAGCAGAGGTTGGACTAGAAGACCTCCAAGGTTTCTTCCAACTCTGTTATTCTATTCTATTCTATTCTATTCTATTCTATTCTAAACATACCTAAGGCTCCCAACAACAGCAACCCTGTGAGGTGGGTTAGCCTGAGAGAAATCACTGGCCCAAAGTCATCCAGTCAAGCTGTCATATGTGACGTGGGACTAGAACTCACAGTTTCCTGGTTTCTAACCTGGTGCCTTGGCTGTTCAATCCTTCCTCTGCCATCAGTTCCAGTCCATTCTCTGAGATAATATAGGCCAGTTGTTTCTCTTGCAAAGGAGGTCAGGCCTTTTCTGTCACTGCCCCAAAGCTTTGCAATAAACTGAGGGACCAAACCTTTGGGTTAGCTTTTTAAAAACGTTTGTGCATTTGCAAGAAAGCCTTTAATGGTTATTTTTTGTTTAAATTCAATAGATTTTAAGTGTTTTAAATGTGGGCTTTTATTTCACTTTTATTTCATTCATCTTTGTTTTATTCTTTTTTTTAAAGGCTTTAAAGTAACAAGCCTATTGTTAGATAAAACAATGAGTACTTTGTAGCTCCTTGGGCATCTTTGTTTTTTTTCCTGAGGCTGCTTTTGTTGTGTTGTGTTAATATAATAATTGTCCATAAACAACATATTTTGTTTTTCTTTACAAAATAGAATGATGGCTTTTGTTCATTAAATTGCTAACCTATATATACCTCTGTGGGAAGCCCCCCACCCTCCCAGAGAATAAATATTTTGAGGAATATTAAAAGAGGCAGAATATTATATTTCCCCAAAAGGAGAAATGGAGAAAAATCTTAACAAAGGCAGAAAGAGTCCCAGTCTTCCTGCCATAGGAAAACAGCTTCAAACTAAGAAGCTTGAGGAAGCTGGCTTTAGGAATGCAGATTTTCTGCCCAGAAAGACTGGGCCAATCTATCCATAAACAAAACACCTTCAGCCACATCTGGAGCTGATGGGATTAAGAATTTAGATTCCCCCACCCAAATTCTAAGGACAGAACATGACCTTTAGGACATCATAGGGTTAACCTGCCGCCACTGAAATAGTAAAAGACATACGTCTCACTACTTTGCACAACCCCCTTGAGCATCTCAATCACCAAACTCCAGAACCCTATAAAAATCCATCCACTCACTCAGCCATTTTGTCAGCCACCCCAGAAACATGCTGCTGCCACTGAAACCATATAAACAGAGACCTTCTTTCCTTGTTGCCAGCCTCCATTTTATTTCCTGTGTCTTTCTCCCTGTTTGGAACCAGACCTCTTCCTACACCTTTTTTTAAAAAGTTACTCCTTTTCAGACCAACTGAAGAACTGTAAGGATTTGGGCTGCAGATAATCCATCTGAGCACTTGATGGCAGCAAACAGAGGCAGACTTGACTACTTTGCTGCCGTCTTATAGTCCTCAGGATGTTTGCTGTTAAAATTTGATAGACAAAAATAGTGTTTTTTAAAGTTGGTAACTTTAAGATGTGTGGATTTCAGCTTTTGGAATTCTCCAGCCAGCAAGGAAAATTCTAGGAATTGAAGTCCACACATTTGCTCAGTCTGAAAAACTGCCCTAGAATAAAAGGGATTTCACTAGTTGATACCTCTGTAATTTTAATACAACTGAAACACTGCTTATAGAAATCTCTTTATTGTAATGGGAGAAAAATTAAAACATATTAACATTAGGCACTCTTGGTTTAAAATGCCTCAGGGATATTAAATAAATGTTTAATGCTTGCAACTGTACTTGTCTTTCAAACAAATCATGCTATTAATTAAATATCAACATATTTCTGGGAGAGTCAAATCACAATTTGTTTGAGTTATATATGACACAAAGGACAGGTAAGTCATTTTACCATGTCAGCATTTCTACAATCCATGTCATTTAACTGTGTCTAGCCTTCCCTATGTGGGCATGGTCCCCTGACATATCATCAGCATGTCTGCCCAAGCCACAGATCCCCAAGGTACATCATTAATATACATTTTAATACGTATGTATGTATGTATGTATGTATGTATGTATGTATGTATGTATGTATGTATTGATGTACATTGTACATCAAAGTAAATGCATTGGAANCCTATGAAGCGGTATATAAGTCTACTGCTATTGCTATATTCTAAAGGAGTGTTTTTCAGCCTGGTCAGCTCTGAAGATGGGTGGACTGCAACTCCCAGAATTCCCCAAGCTAGCCATGCTGGGTGGGGGATTCTGGGAGTTGAAGTCCACCCATCTCAAAAGTTACCCCAGGTTGGAAAAAAATACTGATTTAAATGAAATAGTGGAGAACTGGGAAGAAGCAGTTCATAGGTGACTGAATTAAGCCATTTTTAAGCTTTGGGCCATATGTTAAGTGCACTACATTAAATGTCTAAATAACTAAAAAAAGGGATTTAAATCTATTTTGTGGAAACTTCATTTAGGCCTAAAGCTCAACAGGTGCCGCTTTTCTAGCTATGACAACATGCTTTAGAAAGCTCCACCTGTTGGCATTTATAACCACAAATTGACACTTTGTAGGACTCTGGGTTGACTACAACTCCCATCATTTCAGAGCAGTGGTTGATGGGTTTGAGGGGTGTGTGTGTTTAGGGGCTATCAAACTCTATGGTTTTTGCCCAAGGAAGCCATTCTGGCAGGCTACTCTATGGTTCCGAAACGGCGGAAGGGACAGGAAGAGGAAACATCAGTACAGATAGTACTTCAGGTACATGCAGTCCTTCTAGGTATTTTACCTCTATGATCGAGCCTCTTTCTGCAGGGGAAATCCCGAGTGCCAGAATCATAGAATCTCCATAGGCACATAGAGCGGACGTTTTCTCGTCGGCATTTGGGAGAGGAGGAAGGAGAGGGGAGAGGTGAACTGAAGGCCGGAAATGACCGAAGGGAGACGATGTTGTGGCTTGTCACATGATGTGGCAAAAGAACGTTAAGGGGGGAGTCCGTTGAAAGAAAAGAAAAAAACTTCCGGCCAATCAGAGCGCGGGGCCGAGCGCGCGCCCAATGAGCGCGAGAGAAAGACAAGCGGGCGGTCGCGGAACCTGGGCTCTGATTGGATCTTTGCTTGACCAATCTGGAGGCGCTCAGTGAGACATTCGGCACTGGGCGGAGCTTGCCCGGCACCTGCGCAGAGACGGCGAAAGGGGGGTAAGTGTGCGCGGGACTACCGCACCCATCATCCTCGAGTGGGCTGTGGGTGATGGGCGTTGTAGTCTGTGACTACTGCGTGACTGGAGCAATTTGAAAATCCGGACGGGGGAGTTCAGTGGATTGCTGGGACTTATATTATTATATTATTATTATATTGTATTGTATTGTATTATATTATATTATATTATATTATTATATTATATTATATTGTATTGTATTGTATTATATTATATTATATTATATTATATTATATTATTTTATATTATATTATATTGTATTGTATTGTATTGTATTGTATTATATTATATTATATTATATTATATTATATTATTTTATATTATATTATATTGTATT